GAATCAAGAGATTTATCACATCCCCCACGGTCCTCAGGTACAATTCTCTCAAGTAGCGTGGAAGTCGGATCTTGGGCTCCTCTGGACAAAGCAAAATTACACCAATACGTTACTAATTCTGTAGGACTCTGTTGTGGGAACAACACTTTTGTACAACTTTACTTGGCCCAATAAAGATACTCCCTCTTTTGATTTTGGATTTTTTCCCTTATGATCAACACAGCTACTATTGCTTTTCATTAAAATAGGTACCTTCATGAGTTGCACTCAAGGAAAATTCTATGGCCTTTCACATTTTTTAAACAAAAAATAGAGATGATTACTCAGTATTGATGAAACTGGAATTTGTGATTCAATTTGAATTGTTGAGTCAACTTGATTTAATTTGACCCATGATTTTCCTCAGATCTTTTAAATTCAGTATTGTAGTCCAAATTATAAAAATTGACCTAATGCACAAAAGTCTGCCAAATCTTCAAGCTGGTACAAAGATGCCTGATTCAATGCACCAAGTTGATCCAAAGATTTGATTTGAAGGGGTGATTTGACTGAAATGTCTTCAAACTGAATCTCTAGATTGAAGCTTCCCACAGATGTAGAGAAAAGCCTCTTTTTTGGGTGGGGGGACACTATTTAGAATGAAGGAAAATCTGGACATTTAAGTCAAGCTACGCTATAAGATTTCTTCTGAGTCTCAAGTCCCTTAATCTCTAAAAAAAAAATATGTCAGTCATCTCACGTCTGCACTGACTTTCTATTCTTTTTCAGGCCCAATTCTAAGTCCAGGTTTTGACCTACCAGACTTGGTCTGTAGGTAGCTAAATGTAGGTAGTTCTTGGAAATACTTACTCAAGTGCCCCTCATTCAAGGTTCATAGAGAGGGGTATCCCTCCCCCTTTATGAGAGCAATCTGGCAGCCACAGTGCTGCCAATGTGTTTGAATTATATTAGCATTTCATTTTGAATTTATTTTGTCTATTTGTGCTCAGTTAATATAGTCCTGCAGTTTAATTCTCTAGTTCGGGTCTTGGATACTGCAGGACTGTCTTCTTCAAGGGGTTTCTGCCTATGCGATAAGATCTAGTGGGGAAAAGAACATTCAAGTCCCATCCTTGTGGTCTTGCAGTCATCAGGGGCCCCAATGGCATGGCTTTTTTTGCAGTTGTTCCTCTCCTTTGGAATAGTGTTTCATGTGAGTCACCTCAACCTCACTGGCATTCTGGAAAGCCACCAAGGCCTTGTGGTCCTAGAAAGCCTGTAGTGGGTCCCCTCCCTGCAAATGTTGCTGCTAGGATTGTTTTCAGTGGCTGAGAAATGGATGGAAGTTGGGTCTGGGAGGTTGGTTACTTCTTTTCCTAATTCTTTCTATTTTACTCTCATACCATTTGTAAACTGTTCAGAGCTTTTCTGGAATCAAGTGGCATATAAATTGCAGAAATAAATACTTAGTTTTTTGCATTTGTAGTTGATTTTACATTGCATGCTTACTGTGGGATTGTTACATTTTTAAATTGCCCATCAGCATTAGTTGTTTTTTTTAATTACCATATTAAACTGTGAAATAACACACACACACACACAAAAACCCCACTTTAGGTACATTTAATAAATACAATAAATAAATAACCTGGCTACAGAAGAGTCTGGAATCATAAGAGAGCAAGAAAATGACACCCAAATGTGACTATGGTCACTATAATCTGGGCTCTTACCTTATTTATTCCTATGAAACATTAATACTATTAGTGTCAAAATATGAGTTACATCTATTATATTACATTGAACAGTGCCCACATTATTTTTGTAAAATGGCATGAAATTGAACGCTGTCCATAAAGCTTCAAATATAGATTGTAAAAAATAGGAATAGCACATTTGCTCACATTAGGACTTGTTAAAATGGTCCATCTGCTCAGCTCTGACAATATAAATGCCAATGTTTTAATACTGCCGATGTTTTAAGCGGAATTCTAAATTACATTCTTTCAGATCCAGATTCCAGCACTGCAGACAAAGAATAGTTGCCAACAAAATGGTAATCCATCTGTCTCAACAGTTGTAGCATCTCTCATTGCTTTCACATTATACCTGCTTTATTGTGTACCATTGTCTGGACCTTTTAGTGCTTGCAGACTATTTTAAGTGACTGGCCTTTGGTTGTAATAAAGAATTAATTCATCCATTCTTGTGCTGGTAATCTGTGACAGATCTCTTGGCTTCTTAAAAATTTAAATGCATCACTAAGGATTGCTAGTGTGAGCGCAACAGTGACAGACATGGAAAAAGGTGTGGGGTGTTTTTGCTTTTCATTCCATATCATTTTTTTTTATTCAACTCAATGGGAAGAATGACTTTCTCAATGGATCAAAAGGCAGCTTGATTGGAAAAATTGTGGCACCTTTCCTCTCCCAAACTCTACCCTTGTAAACAAACCCTCCTGCAGTTACACTTCAAAAAAAACCAAACACCTCATCAAGGAATCAAACCCAGATGTTCTCCCAATAACCTATGTTTTAGCCATTTATAGTTTAGCCATTCATGGTTTCAATCCTGCTCTAATTGCTAAACTAATTCCTTTGAATAATTAATGGTAGTGCATATATACAGTTACAGATACATACCAAGAATTTCTCTGATGAGAACTGGCTGGTCCAGAAATGCTGGTTGACTAATTGCATTACCTTTCACAGCTTTCACACGAATATGAAGTTTTTCTCCAGATATTAAACTGCGGATTATGTAACGAATGGAAAGGAAGGGTTTATTGTTGGCTGTCACCCATTCTGTTGCTAGAACAAAAATGTGGAAAAAGATCAGAAGCAAGCAATTCTGTAGCAAAGAACTAATATAAAAACCTGTTCAGGAACAATGAGACCTTTATTTAAACTTTAAATACTTATCTTCCAAGAGGTAGCCTTCTGAAATCTGGTGCTCTTCAGAGGTATTTGACATGGATGCCTGGGGATAATGGAAGCTGTAGTCTAACAGAACTGGAAGTCACCAGGTTTGGAAATACTGAGAAAATCCACTCAGTTTACTTAAAAATGAGATTTGAAAAAGACTGCTGAGCACAGAAGATGTTTTTGACTAAGTATAGAGGAGATTGGGCTCTTTGAAATTATTTGTCACATGGAAGTTCAAAGTCATGTTGTCTAATAAACCTGTTTACTTCTGACCAAATATACATTTTAATTGGTTAGATTTATAAATAGATATATCCCAGCCTTCCCCACATAGCAATCCCTGTTACAATTATTCCCCACAACAACCCTGTGACATCAAATGGCTGAGAAAGAGTGACGGGTCCAAAATTACACAGTGAGCTTCGACAGCCAAGGGTGAACTTGAACCAGGGTGTCCTCAGTCTTTGTCCAACACCTTAACCACTGCACTGCACAGAATCTTAGCTCTCATATTTTGTTCTGTTTTGTTTCTATTGTCTCACTTCCTTATTGTTACCATGAAAACTTTTATGTGTATTTACACCTTCTTTTGCAGACATTTCTATCATGCTGATAAAAAAATGTTGCTTGGTTCAAGGTTAACAGTTTCTAACCAATTAGAAATATAATCAGGAAGCAAATATACAACCCATTGATAATAGGCCTCCAAACATATCAAGCAGCTATGCAATACAGTAATATATTCATACAAGCTGAAACTGGGTGAAATGAAATATTCCACAAACAATTTGGAGCACAGAAACTAATCTGCAAGCAAAACTAACAGCTAAATTCAAAATAATATATTTATGAGAAGTTATTCATCCTCCTGTATTTCTAACACCCTAGCTAATCAATCTATGTAAGCCATCTGCTCTTCAAAATGCAAAAGGAGAATAATCAACTATTTCATCAATGCTATATGAATTTAGCAGATTTCACTCAGACAATCCTTATAAAAAGAAAAAAACTATCAGCTATGATGGAATCAATCTATCAATAACTTTCTGTGTGCAGCTGCTTATAAATGAAATGTCCTAATCCAGGTTTTCCAAAGCAGATTTCATGAATTTTACTGCACGTTTCTTTTTTCATAATATAAATACTTCTCTGTTGTGCTTCTGTAACTCTTGCTCCCCTGAGAAGATCTTGACAAGAGCATATCTGAGCTGAACATCCTTGGATGATCATTAGAGGGCAGCAACAAACACTCACTCTTTGCCACTCACCGGTGGTAATCTGGGTTTTTGCAGGCCAGATATGGTATGCCTAGGAGGGACGTTATTGGCAGCTTCCATTATACGACGTCTAACATTCCTATGTAAGGGTTTGTTACAAAAATTCTATTTGGAAAGGGGGCATAATGATGCTCCACTGATGTAACAAAAATGCAGCAGATAACCAAGATTTGTATTTCCTGGTGTCTCTTATTTGAGTAATTGCACAGTTGAGAGGATTTTCGCACAACATTCCTTGCCCCGGTGTGCAACTTCTATTGCTTAGCAGTTGGACAGAAGCACTTCAACACTTGCAGAGTAGAACTGAGCTCTGTGAAATATCCTCCCACCTTACAGCTCTTCAAGAGAACGTCTCATATCAAATTCTAGAGTTTATAGTCTTATAATATGGTCCTTCTAGCATATCTGCTACATAGCATCAAGGAGCAAGTATATAAATTGGTGATCGGGTGTGCTAAGTGCTAGCAGGAGTACCCATTACTTTTTTTTTTTTTTTTGCACAACGGAGCAACAGTTTTCAGAATTTCAATGAACATTATATGAAAACTCTCTCTCTGCCATCCCATTCCCTTTGACTGTGGCTGCAACTATTAAGAGGAGAAGCAATACACTGCATACTATTTGATACACTAATGCATGCGGTTTTTCATGCTTGCAAGGGAATAAAACCCAAACCTACCTCCATCCTTGCAGTACTCCACTACATATCCATCCAGACCAGAAGGGCCCACATTTTCAGGAGCATCCCATGTTAGTGTCACAGAGCTGTCATTTACATCCTCCACTGCCAGATTCAGTGGTGCACTGAAAGATGCTGGCATTACAAATATAAAAGCATTCATAAATCATTTTCCACCCCTACCAGAGCAACCTTTATGCTATGCTAACTCACAGTTCTCCCTGAAAAGCTTAGCTAGACAATCTAAGAATATTTGCTGGTTACCATGAACACATGTACCACCTCCTTACCTGTTGCACAGAACTTTTAACTACGGTCAGTGTCTCAGGTGAATTTACGAGTAGAGAATTGCACCATGGACTAATTTCTGTGGATTCCAACTGGCAAACGACTCAGACATTCTAGGGGCCCTTGCGAGCACATATCCTATGCATGGGGATTTCCATATAACCAGACACTCTGGTTGTGCTGAGTTTCCCGCTCGGTGAAAGCTCTATGTATATAGTTAAAACTTTCTGTAAGAACAGACCCTTTCTCATATTCAGCTGTACATCCAGTTATTTCAGAGCCACACTCAAGGCAGACGTCGATATCTGTGATTAAGAGTGGCTGCTGTACACACATTTTATTTAATGAGAGCTGTGCATTCCCTAGATCAGTCCTCCCCAGCCTGATGGGTTCTAGATGTTTTGGTGTAGCCACCTCTAGAATTTCCAAGTATGCTCAATACAAAATCTAAAAGCTGTAGTTTTAAACCAACTGCAGAGTTCAAGGATGGGACAGGCTGATGGATATCAAAGACCTGACAAGCACTAGTTTGGGCTCACATGTTGCACTAAGATCATGGGCGTCTGCGGGTGAAGGAGGAGCAAATGACACGTACCCGATGACATACTCAAACAAATGCCACGAATTATGTGCTGGTGTCAGATGTCTTAACATAAGCATCTCCTTGCAGCATTTGTGTGCCTGTGTCATTGTGCACTTTGTCATCGTTTTGGTGTCATTCCACTACAATGCTTATCCTTTCCAGCCAGCTTCAGGGGAGTTGTAGTCTAGCACAACCCTTTTGCTGGAGAAGACAATGATTTAAAAAAAAAAAAAAAAGGGTCACCAGCATCACAAGAAATGATCGGAATATGAGCGTTTTAAATTAAAGCACTGGTTTTCTTCCTGGAACTCGAGTGGGATAATGCCCCCCTATTCACCCGCCACGCCATGCCATCATCGCATCACCTGGCTGGCCTAGAGGAAAGAGGACCACGCAGTCCTCCTCCCCGCCTCTTCATTTCACCGCCTCCCGTCCGCCGCCCTCACCTTCTTCGGGCTTCTGCGAAGCTGCCTCGACGCTTCTTGCTCCGGCCAGGTCAGGCACCGGGGGTTCCGCGGGAGAGGGTGGGCCGGCGGGCAGGGCGGCCTCTGGAGCCGCTTCGAGGTCAGACATCGGCGGGCGGAGGGGTTCCGTCCGCCGAGGGCATCAGCCGGCCGTCTCCCGCCTGTGGAAGCGAGCTCCTGTGGACGTTCTCCCTGTTGCTTCT